AAGCGTTATTTAGCCGCTAGAGGCACTCCAGTGCTCGAACACGCGCCGTACTCGCCTGATTTAGCACCCTGTGACTTTTTCCTGTTTCCGAAGATCAAGTCTGCCTTAAAAGGAACCCGGTTCGAGTCGATGGAAAAGGTGAAGCGAAAATCGGCGGAGCTCCTAAATGCTCTTACAAAAGAAGACTTCCAGCATTGCTTTGACCAATGGAAAAAACGAATGGAACGGTGTGTGGCGAAGGGAGAGGAGTACATTGAAGGGGAGCATTCAATTGTAGAATAATTTTTAAAATAAAACTCTTTTTCATAAGCAGTCTCGTTATTTAATAGCCAGACCTCGTATGATACTTTCAATACAAACAACTGAAAAATTGGCCATTTCTATAGTATTGTAATGTCTTTCCATTTCTGAAGATCTTCGTCTATAGTTTTCTATACAGTTTGATATGAATCTCATTCGACTTTCTATATTAAATATGCATATTCAGGTGTTTTATATGCTCTATATGAATATATACGGAATTTTACATAGATCACTTATAGTTTTCTATTCATCTTATCGGATATGATCCGCCGTATATGATTCTATCATATTTTCTATATCTAAAAGTTTCGTACGAACGGAACATATGGCGTATATGTGGCAGAATTTTGCCAGTAGTCGGTCTGTTCGAATGTATATGGAACATTCGGCACGTGTCTATATGGCTTATATCCGAAAAATAAAAAAAATTGTTTTTCTAAAAATTAATAGACCAGGTTTCAATAGTTTTCAACCCGCTTTTTTAGATTCGGTCTGCCGAATAATATCGTGTAGAAACTGCAAGTGTTAGTGATTTTTTAATTATATACAAGGTGCGTCCCAAAATTTTCCGAACTTTTGAAATAAAACAACAACGGTTTACTTTTTTTTTCAAATTCAAATTTGTTTATTCAAAGTAGTCCCCATCGGACTCAATACAACGTTTGGCACGATCTAAAAGCATTTCGAATGAGTGTTTTATGTCGTTCAAAGGTATGTCCTTCAGAATAGTGGTACAAGCCCTTTGGATGTCTTCTACGTCCACATACCGCTTTCCTTTCATGGACAAATGCATTTTGCCGAATAGGTAGAAGTCACAAGGTGCCATATCAGGTGAAT